TTTGCTGTGTGAGAGACCATGAGAGTTAATGTCCATGCAATAATTGTATGGAAGTCCAATTTCATAAGGATAATGGTATATACATATGTATATTTTTTTTGCCATAATTGCATAATATTGCACTCACGTGGCTCATTCAATTTTTTTATTTAATTCATTTTGTCAAATATTATGTACACCTTGTATTCTTCTACTTGATAGTTTATAAGGAGTTTTATTGGATTGAAATAGAAATATGAGTCAATTATTAAGGGAAAGATTTATTTTTCTCAACTCTGGGCTTTAATCTAACAAAATCATGAATTTATAAAGCTTGCAATGATAGCAACGTAACACACTAAAAACTCCAAATGATGATGGATTAATTAATCACTAATTACTATATTTTTTGTATACTTCAACCCATAAAGTTGGAGAAGTCGATCCTATTGGTCACTACACTACAAATATCGAATTTTTCATTACTGAATCAACATACACGCACTCACACAAGAGTTTGTGTTGATCCCATGGATGGAAATAAAAATAAAAATAAAAGTAAAAAATAAGTCAGGCAAGCAAGCAACCGTCAACAGGCGAAACAGAATCCATGTGTTTGGAACAAAATTTCAAAACTTGAAGGCTTTTTCCGATGAGTGTTTGAATTCAAGACAAATCAAAAGTGTTGATTAAAAGTCTCTTTATTGCATTTTTTTCTGCATGTCCGTACATTCTCAGCAGTAAATGTAAATGATCTCAGCCCCAGCTGCAGTTAATGCATATCCCTATCAAACATATATAGATGCATTATATGAGATGTTATATATTTTTATTTATGTTTGTTCTTAGAGTGACATTTCAACTTAAAAGTATGTATATTTATTGAAAATGTGGATGTGGATGAGTCAGTAGACTTAAAGAAAAAATGAAAGTTTTTTTTTTTTCAAAAAAAAAAAAAATCTTCAAACTTTGAATGCTCGAAGTTTCTTTTCACCATTCAAGTAAACCCCATTAAATGCTTCTTTTACCTCCTCAGAATCTCCTCTCTTTTTTTTCCCAAGGGTAATAGGATAACTCTCTCCATTCTACTAACCCTACAGTCTATGCTAAGACAAGCACAAGTGACAAAGAGTACTGTGCTGTTGGCACAAATATTGAAGTCTTCTCATTCATGGGTTTTTAAGTTTCAATGTCAAAAAAAAAAAAAAAAAATCTGCCTTTCTCAGCTTATGTTTTACTGTCCACGGCATTTAATAACACCAAAAGTCTTACTTCACCATTTCTTCTTCCTTTCTGGTTTTTTTCCTCTCATAATTTAACACACCCCAACACGTCTACTATTTGTGGAGGGCAATAATTGAGACAACATACTATTGAATATTAGATAAGTTGTGCAAATAGTTGTTTAAAAAAAAATGAGAAAGAACGAATATATGTCGAAAAAGCATTACTTTCTATTCAATTATATATGAAACTTTTTGAAAAATAAAACAAAAATGACAAAGCGAGATGAAAAGGTAGAAATAAAATTTGGAGTTAGAATGAAACACTTTTGAGATAGGGAATGAATATAAGGCACGTCAAAAACACAAAACTTTTTTTGTTTAGAACTATCAATAAATGAAGAAAAGCAATGTACAAGAACATGCTCATGAACTATACATCTTATGTTCAACCACTTTTTCTTTATGTTAAGGGTGCGTTTGGTTGGCTGGATATAGCATGATATCACACCACTTCTTTAAGTATCCATACGTTTAATGTGTTTGCCCTGAAAATTGCTGTTGGCCCAATAAATTATCAGCCAATTTGTTTATATCGTATCCCACCAATTTTGTGCTATAGGCTATCACTCTCGCATGTACCAGGCACAAACATATATTCTTCGAAAATTATAAATAACATAATCAATTTCCAAAAAATTCAAAATTGGAAGAAATACAAACAAATTTCTATAAATCTGAGATGAAACTGCTCCTTAAAAAACACTGTAGAGACATTAAATTTGTGGCCAATCAAATGGCGCCACGTGGAAATTAATTTATTAAAAATCAAGTCATATTTTCTATTTATATTTTAGGAATTTCCATAAATTTAATTCCTAAATTTAAATAGTTAATTAATTGATATTTTAATATTTTAATTCTTGATCAATCAAATAATGCCAAGTGTCAAATCTTAATTCTTGGTAATAAATCATATGGCATCTAGAAGATCGAAGATCTAAGTAGATCTAAAAGATCTTATGTGAATCATCATGGACCAATCAAATCGTGTCCTACGATTCTTAAATTTGGTAGGGTTCTCCATCCTACACCTATAAATAGGGGCTCTCCCTAATGTCAAAAAAACACACATTATAATTCATATTCAAGTTTCAAGAGCTCTAGAGAATTCTCTCGACGAGATTCAAGTGTTCTTGAAGATTCAAAGGCGTTCTTGAAGATTCGAAGCAAGATTCAAGCGCATTCAACCTCAAGACTGGCGTTTAATCCGGAAACAAGCTGCAAAGCCTCCGAATAACGTTAGTAAATTCAAAACCGGCGTAGAGAAGATTCAAGATCTACTTTGCGACGAAGACCAAGGATTCGTGTTCTTCGCGTTCTTGGGATATTTTGACGTTTGATCCGAAATCAAGGCGTTGGCCCTCGGATTAACGTTAATTCAAGTCAAATCAAGTCAAGGAGAAGATCAAGCCGAAGATTTCGCTCCAAGACTCAAAATTGTTCGTGAGAAGAATCAGAGGAGATAAATAGAGATTGTAACCCGTTATATTATTTTGATTCAAGAAATTTATTTGAATAATATTTTTCGTGTTTTTAAATTCAATACACGAAATTTGTTGTTACAAACACACAAAAAAAAAAAAGAATGGGTGCTTGTTGGGGCCAAGAGTTACTAGTGACACATGCGACCATGGCAGCAAATCTTGGTGCTTAATTGCTTTTGTGAGTTCTAGTTTTGGTGGATTTTTATTGTTTATTTTTAATTTGCCTCTGGCCCTAATTCCACCAATAGATCTTGATGCTTAATTGCTTTTGTGATTTCTATTTTTCATGATTTTTTTTTAATTTGCCTTTGGCCCTAATTCCACCAACCGAGACAAATTCTTCAAATACTCAGTTCCCTCGCTGATTTTTCTCCCTTTTTTTTTTCATTCGAGTTCTTGAACGGCCGACAGGTTAACGGCGAAGATAATGATATGGAGGTCGTGGCATCCTCTGATTTTGAGGAGATGCGAGGTTAAGCTCGCCTTGAAAAGGGTCGAATGCGGCGTTGGGTGCCTAAGGTAGCAAAGAAGGATGACGTGCCCTCGCAAAGTGAAAATCTGATGGAGGGGCCTCAAGATTTTGGTTGGCTCCGCCTGTGAAGTGGAAACTAGAGAGAAGACTACTAACAATGTCTACGGGCGAAACGGCAACATTTTTTGTTTAACCCAAAAACTAACCAAACAAATTAATGGAGTGGATTATATCAAATGAATAACCTAGAGAAAGAAAATTTGATAGTATCAAGTCCAATAACAAAGTATAACCAAACGGAGCCTAAGTGTATATATATCTAAATAACTTTATTATAGATTATATGTGTTGGGAAGATTCACCAAGAGTTTTGAACCAAGAGACATTTTCGGACGAACTCAAAT